CGCAGGGGCTCGAACCCACGAACCGCGAGATCATGACCTAAGCGAAAGTCGGACGCTCAACCGACTAAGCCACCCAGGCGCCCCTATAAAAATTTTTAATAGTTTTTATTTTTGAGACAGAGAGAGACAGAGGATGAGCGGGGGAGGGGCAGAGAGAGAGGGAGACACAGAATCTGAAACAGGCTCCAGGCTCTGAGCTGTCAGCACAGAGCCCAACGCCGGGCTTGAACCCACGAACCGCGAGATCATGACCTGAGCCAAAGTCAGACGCTTAACAGACTGAGCCACCCAGGTGCCCCTTCGCTTTACTTGTTAAAGGAACACTTTGTATCACCATAATAAGGGGACAATGGGTCTCTCTTAACATATAAAGGTAACTGCCAGAATAAGAAATACGCATAATGAAATATTATTGAATTACAAACAGATACCTTCTGCTGGACAGAACTGTCTGCTTCCCCCCACGCTGAAGGCTTTAAGAATGAACCTTGCGGGGCGCCTGGGTGGCTTAGTCGGTTAAGCGTCCGACTTTCGCTTAGGTCATGATCTCGCGGTTCGTGGGTTCGGGTCCCGCGTCGGGCTCTGTGCTGACTGCCAGCTCGGAGCCTGGAGCCTGTTTCAGTCTGTGACTCCCTCTCTCCCTGACCCTCCCCTGCTCACTCTGTCTCTCTCTCTCTCTCTCTCCTAGAAATAAATAAAAACATTAAAAAAAAATTAAAAAAAAAAAAAGAATGAACTTTGCTCTTTCTTTGATCAAAAGGGGTATTTGCAAGTGTCAGAGAAGTGTACAAGGTACATTGCTATCATATTTATAATTTCTACGTTGGGTCATTAGGGTTAGAAAGATCAGAAAATGCTGAAAAAGGAGTAAGGTTATCATCTGTTGCAAATCGTAGACTCGCGTGCAGTTGGAAGAGATGATACAGGGACGGCTCGTATACCTTCCTCAGTTTCCCCCAGCGGTGCCGTTTGGCAGAGCTGCGTGGTTCCTCGCTGTGACGGCCCGGACATCAGTCTTATTCAGAGCCCCTCACTTACTCGTACTCGTGTTCGCGTGTGGACGTGTACTAAGTTCTCTGCAACTTGATCCCGTCTGGGTTTGTGTATCCACTGCCACAGACTCTGTGTGCTTTTCAATGGTGCGCCTTGCCCCAGCTCGTCGTCATTTAGGAACCTGGGCTGAGGGCGCAGGCCTCCGCCTCCCGGCCCGCCGGTGCTGCTGGGGCGTGGGGGCGTGGCTACGGAAATTCTGCTCTGGAAATTGTTTTCTGAGCCAAAGCCTGTCATGCCCTAACTAGCTTCGATGCGGCGGGGACGCCCGATCTTACTAAGTTCCAGGAGGGAGGAGACTTTGAATACTAATAGCCACGATCACACTGTTGACCCACTGTGTGCACTGGTGAGCATCCCAAAAGGGCCAGGTCTCTAATCCATTCTTGGGGAGAACAAGGCCAATAGAACACCATTCTGTAAAGTTCTCAACTAACCTGCTGTTAGTGACACGGGCGCCGTGAGAGTGCACATCAGTTTCCCGCCCGGTCATCTCTCTCCGCCTCCTCACTAACCGGGCACCGGGGTCTACCCATCTGGCCTCCAAATCCTCTCCTGGGTTCATCCTTTTTTCTACTCCAACCTCAGAGCTCTAGACCCCACCCAGAACAGCCGTTCCACCCTCCCCCCAGGGCCTGGCCCCCACTCTGGCCTTTCCCCAAGGCCTGCCCACATGACCTTTCTTCATTCTCAATGTTCTAGCCAAGTGGAACTCAATAATGAAGCATCATGATGACAATGAATTTGATATCCAAAGGGAGATTCTGAAGACTTAAGTGCCTTTTTGTTCAGTAGTAAGCTCCATTCCCACCGTGGGGCTTGAACTCACGACCCCCGAGATCAAGAATTGCACGCTCTCCCGACGGAGCCGGCAGAATGAACTCTCTAGAGCTTTCCTTTCCAGACCTTATCCAAATACAGAAGGACTTTTTATGTAATAATAGGGGTATAGTATACATATAACTTGTATATTGCTTATTTTACCTAATATTATATCAAATGCAATTTATATGTTACCAAATGGTTCCTATGCATACGAAAAGTAGCGCTCACTGGGGCGCCTGGGTGGCTCAGTCGTTTAAGTGTCTGACTTTAGCTCAGGTTGAGTCCTGCGTTGGGGTTGGCACTTACCGTGGGGAGCCTGCTTCGGATTCTGATCTCCCTCTCTCTCTGCCCTT